CGAAAGAGTATGAGATCTTCAAATCTAATTTCCGTTGCTCTAATTCGCGCCATTTCGAGGCTCGATTAATTGCGCCTTTTTTCCCGTAGATTTCGCCGACAATTTCAAACGTGGCGGTCTTCGGCACGTTCTTTTTATCATCAAATGGGAAGTAGGAGGAAAAAAAGGGGGGGGGGATTGATAGAAAAGGCATACGGAAGGCGAGCGGAAGCGCGGCGATGGACAGGAAAAAAAAAAGGGGGGAATTGCGGGAAATGCCGTTCGATCGAGCCCCGCGAACGCGAATGCGAATGTACAGAGCTCTGGTGCCGGTGGAACGCATTTAAATAATTGCTTTTCGTTTTCGTTCCTCACCCTCTGGGCCGTGTCTACCGTCGGCCTGATAGGAATGCACGCCCACGCTCCGCCCGCGTGTCGGCAGCGGGAAATTCGTTATTGGAAATCAACGACTGCAGTTAGGTAAAATTATTTACGATATTATCGGCGACACGATTTTCGCCGCCGCGCGCCGTTCGCCGATCGCGGCGCAAAATGTCGCAAAAATAAGAATTCTCCGCCCCGGGATAACGACGAATTTATTTTCTGCCGCGCGTAAGTCCCAATGGACGCCGTCGAGGACGGTTTTCTCCTTGAAGTACCGGGCGAGACGCTCGACGGAGTAATATTTTATGATGATAGTGAAAAATGCTTCCGGGTTAACGGGAAGCCGGTGCAACGGGAAGGCCGCTTAAAGGCCGCTCATCTCTCGCTGGGAGAAAGTTTTATCGGGATTATTCCCTTATGACGAGCTAAGATTATCTGTCTTTCACGAGCGGTGCGGCGAGCGTTTTATGAAATTTGCCTGCAGGGGGTCTCGCGCCTGTATTAAGACAATCGCGAGTTTTCATGGCGCGAATGAAAAACTTCAAAGGGTTGAAGAACTGGGAGAGTAGTCCCCTAACAAGTTCGAGTTCTCTCGATGATATTTTCAATTTCGTGGTGGTGTTCCATTAGTATAAAAATAACGTGTATAATATCATTTTTATCAAAATGAGAGAGAGAGAGGGAGAGAGAGAGAGAGAGAGAGAGAAAAACACCTTAATATTTTGATAAAGTTCCGCCATTTTCGTTGCCGCTATTAAAAGCGGCGGATCACATCAATCGAATTGATATGAATTGCGACCGTTTATAGTAATAACATCGCTGGCAATCAGCGACGTACATCCACAGAATAAAATCTCATATTTCTCCACTTTTCGCGTAATTAATGAAATTAGCCGGGCATATTCGCAACGCCCAGGGGTCGGTTTAACAAAAAGCCGGGGATTTCTGAAAGCTACCCGTCCCGTGCCGCTAGTGCTTAACGGAGGGGGGGGGGAGGGTCTAATTAATACCTACGTTTTACATTCTATTTAGCCACCCCCAACGCAAGGGAGCATTTTTGCGTGGTGGCGCATTACGCGCCGAAAGCGCGACTTAACCGGGCGATTAGTCCGACTAGGTACGAGGTCGTGTGCCGTTCGTTTGTGCAAGCTCGTTCGCGCGGACGAGGTCGCATTACTCGACCAAGATCTATCTAATCTAATTTCGTACCGCCGTATAACACCGCCATTGTTCTCTCCATCGTCGTATCTTAGCTACGTACTGTTATAACTGGGGAGCCACCTCGTGCAAATACGCCGGTTAGCACCTGAGATATATGCATGATCCGATGAGCATACCTTTCGGGCGTTACCTTTCATCCGAAGTACTCCATTAAGGAAAATACTGTATATTTTACTGTATATTTAAAGGTATGCGCCCGAAAGGTGTGCTCAAAGGTAAATTCAAAAAGTGTACAGAAGAAAAAAATGTCTTTTGAAGAAATTATTATTTTAAAAGTAAACAATTCATTAACGATTTATTAACGAAGAATAAATAGCTAATGGCGAATAAAATAGATTATAGATTTTTCAAAATTATTTATGTTACGTAAAAAGGAATATGCTATTTCAGTGAAATGAGCAAAAATGCAAATTGGATTATTGCATAAATAGAATTTGTATAATATAATCGAGAATTTAACTTCCAGGATCATAAACATGGTTTTCGCAAAGTTCCTTAATTGATATTAAGCTAGAATGTGCTTATTGTGAATAAATTGTGAATTTTATGTTTTCCCGTTCGTTTTCTGTAAACAAGACTTTTTTTTTTGAATAAAAATCTCCCCTACACTGTTAAATTTATAATGCCAAATTATACTTAAGTTATTTTTAACCATTTTTATAGGTTCCCATTGTTTCTACTCAATACAACGTTAATTTAATTAAAACAATAATAGAATTAAACAATTTCATTCAAGAAAATGTATTAAATTTGATTCAAATTTAGTTTATTATTTACTGAGCGCATACAATATACCTATAGACGTCATTTGTTTCGAAATTAATCACAGAAATGGATTGATTTATATTTCAATATACATGGAAGATTCAAATATACCAAAATATTGTTTAAGGAATTAGATTACCTCTTTCAATATCTAACAGTACGAATATCATTTTACATTATTCGAATACATAGAAGATAAAATACACTGCATTCGCAATTGAAATGGTCGGAGATAAAAACATTCAATATATTTTGAAACAAAGCATTTGTTTTATAACATTTATTTATTAAGAAGTACGCGCTTATTACTTTTTTCAACGTAATACACGACTCTTCCGCGAGTAACTTTCTTATACTTTTATCTCTGCGTGCACACACTGGCTTAGGTATACACATAGTCTTAGATCGTAAAATAACACACTTTGCATCGCCTTATGCGCTATATAATAATGTTAATGAGGACGGAGAGGCGACAATGTAATCGTAAAGGCACGTACATGCTATATACCGTGACGCGTTATTTCAACGTGCATTCTAGAGCGCATGATGGAGTAGCCTTTTTGCCGAGCCTGGCCTTTTCCATCGCGCCCTTACCTGCAACGCGCGTCCCGGTAGATTAAAAAAAACTCACGGTCTCCTTGCTTGTTATCGGGCGTTCGTGAAAATTAATCGAGAGACCGCGGCGGACGATGATTGATGCCCGCGGAATGTGTGCACACGGATGCGAAAGAGGCGTCCGCACGTAGCAAAAGCGAGGTGATGCATTAATCGAGTGATCCGGTGATTTAATTGCGGAAACAAGTTCCCGGCCGTCGGTCGCGACTCTTTTTGAAAGAAAAAAAGATGGTACGCTTTTAACGATGAAGATCCTTTAATACGGGCCGTGAAATAATGTTAGCTCGCGCAGCGAAACCTCGTTTCAGTTTTAAAAACGACGACTGTTCATTTATCTCGATATTGTCGATACTTAAAATGAATTTAGAGATATAATCCAAAATAGCAAGTAAGAATTTGAAATAAAAGATAGTAAAAAAGACAATGAATTGAGAAGTATGTACAAATGGAACTAATCGGAAATTGTACATGTCAATGTTATGTTAAAAAACATAAATGTACATAAATGTAGAATAAATACACAGGTCAATATAAAAGGTCAATATAAAATATGTACAAGAACTAAATAGGTACAGAGATTTTATAATTTTTTAATTAATGGATCTCCAAAATATTAAATGAAAGCCTAAAATTTTCTTCCTATATTTATTATACGCCCAGAAAAAAATTAATATATTTATACAATAAACAGTTTAGAAGAAATAGAAATTTTTCCGTTTCTTGAAAATATTAACTTTTCGGGCTTAGTTTTTACGAAAAATCCTTCATATAAATTTACTGATTAATCGTGTAAAATAAATTTTAAACCGTTTGTGAGACTCGAGTTTTACACCCGCTGTGCAAAGAGTATCACGTATTCAATAGTTCCCTTGAACTTATACAGTGACTCTGGGCTATCGTAACACCGTGCGTTAGTAAACCGCAATTTCTTTCTTTTGCCTCGGCTTTCGTTATACGCGGGATTCTCCATGGAACGTAATAACGCGAAGTAAATAGAAATCTGTGGCGTATTTGCCCAGAGAAACTAGTAGGCGATACGTTGCGCGCGTCTCTCTGTGGAGATAAACGCAGCAGTGGCGTAAATGTCCGTTTTATCCCGCTTTAGTCCAACTGATCGTGTTGCAACCGGGTAACCCGATATAACCGGTGGTTCTGTCTATCGCAAAAATCGAGCGACGTCGCTAAACGGCAACGCGCCACGTTGGTAATAAATAATAATCCCATCGCGCGCGGAAGGCGAACGGCAATAAAATCGACGATACCTCTTCTTCGGGGTGGCGGAAACCAATTTAGCCGGTATTACACGGAATTTGGAAGCCCGTCCGCCCGTCCGTCCGTTGTATTACATTGCAGTAATTGCTGTTGGTGGAGTAGCATTGCTGTCGGGCTGAAACTGGGACAGAGCGCGCTGATAGTTCCGATGTACAACATTGGACTCGTGTATTCGCAATGATATCTATCTGTACTTTTCTCTTTGACAATGTATTCCAATTCAGAATATCAAACAAGGAATAATACTTCATCCCATCAGACAGTGTGCTCGCCGTTACTAAAAAGATCGTGAAACGTCCGATTCAATCTCGTAATGGACGTTATTGTCCAATCGCTGATGCAATCTTTTCATCGCCGTGATGTAATCCAAGATAACATAAAAAAAAAAAAAAAAAAACGGACTTGTCAGAGAAAGAACGGGGCAAACAGCATGGTAGAATTCTTTTTATTTATCCGATAACTCGATGAGAATTGCGCGATCATTCTTACGAGAATAAAATCGCATAAGTGGACGACTATCAATTCGAGCTTCTATACTTCGTACAAAGTATTAGATAATCGAGCGTCGATGTAGAGCATTTAATTCCACAATCACTGTACAATAGTTTAACAGTGTATTCGAAAATTAATTTAAAATCAAATATTCTCTACTTAATACAAAAAATAAAATAAAATAAAATAATTATAAGCGATCAAATTGTTAGTCGATATTATATGTAATATATGTAATATAGAGCTCACGCTTTTATCATAGATCCATAGTTTACACATATAGTGATCTATCAGTGTCATTGATCTTCACGACTCAGGTGATATTTTTATGTGGCTTACAATTTACCACACCATATTATTGGCATCATAGACGGCTTTTTAAAGATAAAAAATGTCTAGTAGTACATTGACAATAAGAGGATTAAATTGTAAAAACACTATTATTAACATGATATTCATTAACAGATAATTCACTTCAAGAGATAAAGAACCAGTGGACATTAACAATAAGTAAAATTAAATTATTGTTTATCTTCTGAATGCAGCCTCTGTCTTCTGTACAACCAGTAGCGGCAGTAGCGCAACTATTCAGATCCCAATCACATTATTTTAAGAGATCTATGTAGTAATTAGATTAAAAGCGTGAAGACTGAACGTGTAAAGCTTATAAAAGTTATTAATAAAAAAAAAGTTAGGAATAAGAATGTATAATCCTGTTTAATGAATGAATATATTAACATTTAATTATTCCACAAGAATGAAATTGCAGCAAGGAACGTGATACCTCATATTTCTTCTTGATTTATTAAAATCAATAATATCATCCTTCTCCGGTATCTAATTACTTAACTTTCCTAATTTTTGTTAAAAGAATAAAATAACCTGCATCTAACAATTAAAATCTATTATTAATAATAAAGAAACTTTTCACTATTATTACCTGTTATAATAAATGTAATATCTAGATGCACATAAGAAGTATAATACAATAAAAAACCGAAAGACAAAGGAGAGAAATCAATTTTTGAAATTGCTTTTATCTGTATATAAATAAATAAAGTATATCAAAGGTAGAAATAATTATTGTAACGTGTATGTACTTTGACTTTCCGAGATCAAGCTTCAATAATAATCATGTAAAAATAAAATTCGTGGTCTATAAATCTGAATCAGTGGATAGTCACTAATTATCCAGTGGCATTGATAATCAGTGAAGTTCAAAAAGGAAAAATGTTTGAGCATTAATAACTAAAACTGATATTTACATATTAATTTTAATCTTCCATATTCATTGAATTTAAACATTAAAACAAGGTTAATTAGATCACATAATAAAGATTAGCTTTACTAGGTTAAGGATCTCACATTTAATTCACTAATTACCAGTGACATATTTGGCACTGATATCAGTGATTATCCACTGATTCAGATTTAGAGAGTGTGCTACTTGATCAATGATAACATTGATTAACCCGATGGCATTTATAGCCGATTGATTGGTTATAACCAAGTATTTCCGTTTGATATATGGTGAAGAACAACCGCAATACCACATATGTCGGACCACGTTTTAAGGTTCGATCAATCGACCGTCCGCTCCATTTTCTCCTCGCATGTGAAATGACAAAAGGTCGCCATTCGCGGGTGAGCCGGGCCAAGTTTTGCGCAATCCCGAACATTAAAAGTTTCGCGGACGGATAGCACGCGAAACGAATTGGCCAGCTGACGGAGAGGAAGTTTCTGAGGATTGGTTGACGGTGATGAATACAAATCAAACGTCGGCCGACTTTTTCCATTGTGAACCATCTCCTCGGTATAACCGACTTTCATTTTGCATACTAATATCAATCGCAAACAACTTTCGAAGAATACGAGATTCCCGTTGTTTGTAAGGATACGTCTGGTTGAGTGCCAGGAATCGGTAAAGAACCAGCATCATTTCGAGAACTTTCGGATTTCGATAGACGAATATAATACCCGTTTCAATAAACCAGCAACCTCATCGTTTTGAAATTCTTGTTGTATTTTTAACTTTAAGTGGCGCTCCATCCGCGCGAAGTCCCTGGCGTGCGAAAATATAAAGTTCTTATCTGTGCCGCGCATTTTCCGTTCTCATGTATTATTTTGTCACACTAAACAACGTAACGCTAGCCCCTTACGTTATTTACGAAGGTTTCGAAGTCAAAAGCACGACGATGTCCCAGATCTAATAAGCTTGCAAGATAGGCACTCTCATCGTTTATAATATAATTCTCGAACGTCTCACGCGAGGAGGAAGACTAAGCGAAACGATAAAGGACTGATGAATATGGACGACGTTCGATCACTCGGATTTGCATGCACGGTCAAGTGAGGTAAGAACAACGTATCTTTAAACACGCTTATATATCGCGGAGTCGCGTTATTAAGTCCGAGAGAAGCAAGTCATTAAAATAAAGATAGATCGTGCGCGTCTATCTGTCAGAAACTATATATTTTCTCTACGATACGGAATCATCGACAGTATATATAGTCTCTAAAAGTGAATCAGTGACTTTAGTGTTACAGTGAAATGTAAAAAAGCCCATCGGAGCCTATCATCAGCCGTTTCAGATGTACAGAAAATTCTTTATTTTCGTGTGAATGTAACAATACGAATAAAATAAACGTTTCGACTTTTCAATTCGGGTCCTTATCAATATAAACTATCAACTATAAACAGAAATTGCACAAGTAACGCAAATTCCAGGTTGATGATTCCCGACAATTTAGTTCGTTCTTCTTTATCCAAATGCCAAATTAGCTATGTGACGAATAGTCCAATGAGTATCAAAATATTAACTTATACAAACATAATATAAAAACTTACATAAAGAACAAACTAAATCGTTGGGAATCATCAACCTGGAATTTGCGTTGCTTATGTAATTTGTTTGCTCCGATGGGTTCTTTTACATTTCACTGATAGATTCTTTCGAGCCTCATTTTATATATTTCTTTAGTGTTACACTTACTGTTGTAATCATCAGTGAATATTTATCGTTTTTCAATAATAATACACTGATTCACTTTTCGAGAGTATAAAATCGAATCAATATTTCATCCTTCGATTTAACTGATAACGAACGAGAATTCGAATGAAACTCTTTTCAAAGAAGCGGCCAATCTCCCGGTTCCACGTAACGGATCTATTAAAACTCTCGTCCAGCAAGATTGAACTCATTACCGGCTGTCGGGTGTGGCTAAAGACGACGCCGTCATTCTGATCCTGCCGCGAGACCGATATTATTTTGCCGTCGATGCGATACGTGAGCTGTACGCTCGGGACTTACCGGTGGTGGAGTTGATGAGAAAATATCCCTCCGGATTGCCGCTGCTGATGGTGAAGACGAATTGCTGAGGCGAAACGTCGTGATCAAAAGCGCGGATCTGCAGGACGCTGACGCTGGCGGGCGAGTTCTCGGGTACGGATGGATAGTAAACTGGCAGCTCGGTCAGCGGCGTGTTATCATTCTCGTCCAGCACTTCGACATAGACCTGCATAAGTGCGAAAAGAGACATCCATTTCATCATCCATTAAATAAAACCACCGCGCGTTTGTTAAATTAAATTCGTGACTGGGGAAAAAAAGAAAAGTCGCAACTTTGTTGTTTGGAATATCTCGATATTGATGCAATTGCAATTTTTTATACCGTACCTTCGGAGGATTTAAAAAGACAAACTGTAACTTGGATTTCCATAATGACAATTTTAACAGTTTTCGTTTTATTACTTTTAAATCATTGTCTTTTGACTTTGTTTTTTTTTATTTCCTTTTATAATCTTTTAATTATTCACAATTAAGTATAATTATACGTTCACGTTTGTCTTTTTCTTATTAAGAGTACTTTCCAATTGTTTGACACATCTTGACACAAACGCAGCAAATTCATTCATATACATGTATTTGCAGTGTTAATAAATAATTTAACAAAAAAGAATGGCCTAAAGGAACAGTTCAGTATCATGCTGTTCCACGCCCTGATGAAGTGGACTGCAAGGTTGACGAAACGTTGGCATTCCAAGAATAAATTTGGACACAGAGGGAACCCATAATCGAAACGTATAATCTTTATATAGAAAGCACCGTTATATAGGAAGCCTAGAAAATATTATAATAACAAGTATAGATTCAACAGATCAAATGTGTCAAAGGAAACACAAACAATAATATATTAGAAATGAGGCCAAATATAGGCTTTCTCTCATTTAATTAGAAACATATAAAAGTAAGAGCATATATAAAGAAGGTATATAATAATAAAAGAAATTATTTCTTGCATATAAACGTTTTTATTCTTCGTATGTATGTAAGTTTGAATAAACAGTTTTGCTCTCTATACTGTTTAACTCTCGTCAAGTACCACAAAAAAATTTCGTCATATTATCTGACTTTTCTTGATAGATCATAGTTTTTTTAAAATCACAGTATTTTTAAAATTGTAGTAAAAAATAAGTAGTGCTGGTAATATTAAAATTGTGCAATAATAATTAGTGTTTATCTACAATGATACGTGATGAATGTTAATAACATATAAAATAATTACCAAAATAATTACAATAAAGAAAGTAATTGGTAGAAAAAAATTATCTTTAAATTTCTTTGGAATGAAATCTAACTCTAAAGAATGAAAATATTGAGTCAGTCTTAAAAGAGAATGGTACAATTTATAATCTTTAAAAGTGAGATTTCAATCTTCACATTAAGCTTTTACTCTAAACGTTTTGTAGAGTATGTAAACGGATGAGAAATACATACGTTGCAATTAAAAATACAGTACATTGAAATGATAAAATATTAATTTTGGTTACGTATAAAACAATTTCATCCAAATTTAATTAAATTTAAAAACATTAAAAATTCTAAAAATAACTATCTGTTTGATTTCTAAACATATAACAGTCTGTTAAAAAGTAATTTATTTTTCTACTGTTAATCAAATATTTTTATTTTATTAGTTCGTTTAATTAGTAGCTTTGTCGTGATATTTCTTATATAAAATTGCATCATTTTACATTATTTTAATTTTTTTCTCCAAAACTTTAATTCCTTTCAGTACTAAACAGCCATCTTGTCTATTTTTTTGGAAAAGTAATCTAGTGTCTTTATTTTATATTATTCGCAGAAGGTAAATAACGTATGTAAAATTTATAGTGATACTTATAAATTCAGTGTTTAAATTGACTCACAACGAAATATCTTGTTTTTTTTCAATATATTAAAAAAGTTTCTTTTTTTAATATTGAATAAATACAAAATAATTTCTAAAAATTGTTTATTTTTGAATCTATATGAAAATGATCGTATAAGTATAAATTAATAATACTAAATGGTAATTACAAATAATAAATATGTGTGTATATATATACATATATATATGTAATTTATACACAAATACATCTATATATATATATATATATATATATATATATATATATGTGTATGTATATTTAAAATGTATGACATTAATAGAAAATGATGTAAAATAAATTTTTATGTAACATAAAGTTATATAAAAATTTATATAAATAATAATTATATACTTAACGTATAATTAATAGATCGTTAAGTGTGTATACATCAGGATATATTTGTCTTATATTCGCATTACATACAAAGCTAACAATTTACTTAAATTTAATTATCATTTAGTAATCGATTTAGGCACAGAGATTCATTTAACGTATGTGTTGAGATTTTGATTATTTGTATATCTTGAATTTAAATTTATATTTTATTTTTATTAGATAAACCAAAAATATATTTTATACGTTTATACATTCTATGGTTCTTAAGGGGATTCTAAAAACGATTAGTCGTAATGTAAGTATGACTTATGCACTAACAATTTAACGTATCACGGACGCATCTCTATGTACAGAGTAGTATGTAGTACACCAATATCTTATGCACATATAAGCATAATTTTCGTATAAAGAATAATTTCAATATTTTTTTATACATATAAATCCAATTTTAAGAACTTCACATTGTATCTTTGTGATATTTAGTAGTCTACAAATTACTGTTTTCAGGTACAAATGACATAGCTTTTATATGAAGCGAACGTTGTTATGATAAAGTAGCTCTACATCGCTATACTGAAATAAGAAATTATATAGCACAATTTTTCAATTTTTATGTTCGGCGTAAACTCTATCTCACAGACACATATTAATACGTATAGATCGATTGTGAAAATAAATTCTCGAATCTATAAAAAAAAATTGTCATACGAGAATTATATGATTTTGTCAGTAATAATACCGGCTCTTGAAGAGGCGGATCTTATATGGTCTCCTGTTTATCGGTTAAACGCTATAATTTTCATAGAAGGATATCGCATACAATAACTTTTATCGCATTTGAGAATTTTCTAAAATTAAAGTGTATGTATTAGAATGTGTCTGTAGCTTGAAATTTATGTCACAAACAACAATTTTTTACATTGTTATGTTTTTCTAACATTTTTTTAAATCTAAGTGACGTCTAGAATTTTCAAGTTTGCCGCAATAGTTGTTTGATACAAAAGCTCTGGAATTTGTACGTACAAAATTGAAAGTTACAAATTAATATTGTAGAATAATTAAAAGAACAATATTGTTGTTGAAATTAGAGATCTACGCCTAATTAAAACGATATCGCTTTACAAAAATTTATGTATATATGTACGTACGACATTGAATTGCAGTAGAATGTATCAACGTGGCATTAGTAAAATAGCAGTTTCTTTCAGAGTTTATTTTTTGATGTTAGGATCTTATTAAGAAACAGATTTGTATATACTATAACGTAGTATCAATTATTCTTTTTTTAGAAGATTATAGGTTACTTCGCACTCACGATCAGTAGAGTAGAAATTACGAATACTATTTGATAATTGGCCAGGAAATAATTAAAGTTCTTTCACTTCGGTAAATTCTTCTCTAGCGGAAAGTTCTTCTCTAACGTGCAGTTCTCTAACGGGAAGTTCTCCTCTAGCGAGAAGTTCTCTACCGATAATTTCTTCTATATCGCGCAATATATTTTCCTCTAATTCGGCGGGAAGATCTTTTTCTATATCTTCAGAATTTTCAAGAATATTTATCATGGTTGTTGGTTCTGAAGTCTTCGTTGCGGATCTGTATTTTTATATATTGTGATAGAAAAATTAAAGTTGTAAAATGTAATATACTATTTAATGTTATAATTATATTACTTGATAATTATATGAAAAGTTTTATCTCTTCAATCAAATCGGTTAGAATAGGAAGTATCTGTAGTAACTTATAAATTGTTAAATTAAATATTTATATTTGCGACTTTGTGTACATGAAAGTATTAACTGAAAGTGTAACTGTCACAAATTTATTGTTAAGATATATGATATTATGCTACATGTGAAATAAAAAGTACAATGAGTATATGAAGAGAATTTTTTGAAAATTATCTTATAAATATGATGAATATAGTCATGGAACAACTTTATATTTCGAAAAACTTTATGTTAATCTCTCTTACTTACTAATAAAACTAAAATATAAAATATAAAATATAAAATAAATTTCATTATTTTTACTGAAATGTAAAATGGTATAAATCTTTATAACATCGTATTGTTATATAAATATTTAAAACAATGATATGTACTACAACTACTATATTTTCAGGGTAAATTTTATAACTGAATTTGTTCTTTGAAGGCACCGATTAAAATAAAATATATGTATGCATAAATATAAATTTCATTTCCAAAAATATTAAAAATAACAAAAAAACCAGTTTAATATAAATATACATGTCTAGTCCTTAAAAATTAAACAATATCTGGATTAATATTATAAAACAATAAAAGTAAGCTTAACGAAAGTAATTTACCAAAGCGAATGCATTACATATTGCAATAAATGACAATTAAACAACATGTAATTGTATTATTTATAAATATACACTAAATGAGAAAACAAATTTGATCACAGATGAATTTTTAGCACTGACATATCTTTTTTCCCAGTTAATGCAAATACAGATAAACTGATACTAAAAAATGTTTGTAAATTATAAAATTATAACCATACCTGTTTTTACATTGTTTATATACAATATACCTATTGTTATGTTATTTACTTGATCTTCATGCAATTAATATAAATTTTTTTAGTTATTGTTTATGCGAACAAAAGTTAAAAAAAATTGTTTTTGTACATTTAACATTTCCGACATTTTTTTTTAAGTTAATCACTATTTATTGCACATAATCAGTGTAACGAATACAAACAACGGATTTTTTGACAACACTTGACTTGTCCTGATATAGAATATCAGTGAGAGTATTGCAACGAAAGTTATATAATGATATCTTATACATATAGTATCGTATAAAATGTTATAACATGTAAAATAGTATAATCAAATTGGAGTAATAATTTGCGATATTAATAAAACGCTTAATAAACAAATGTTATATACAACATCACATAAATCATATTTGAATAAGAAAAGAAATATAAATTAATTCGTAAGATCTATTAACTTTAATAAA